ATTCGTTTTCGTGTTCTTTTCATGTATTTAGCATTTTAGTTTTTTTTTCTTAAGCGTTGTAGCTATATGATATATAAAATAGGAATTTAATTGTTTTTGAAGGAACGATCACTCTTACCTTGGATCTCTTTGGTTTTTCTATTCTTTATTTTAACAGTTTTTATCATATGTAATTAGTTATTTTCAGAAAGTTTCAGCAGATAAGCACTTAGATTTTAATATTGAAGACAAAATTGCAGGACAGGAACACTTTAATTGTCCACTAATCTTCAGATTTCCTGCTATGTTTTAAAAATCTTTATTTGCGAAAACTTTTAGCGTGGCGGACAGCTGACCGCCTTAAGCGGCTAGTATAATAATAAATTAAAAAACAAGTTTATAGATGAAGTTGCAATGGTAACAAAGTAAAATAACTAAGTTTTAAGTTTTAGGCCAATAAAAACGGAAACTTAATCTGCATTAATACAATAAAAAAAATTTGGGGATCGTTTAATTGAATTATCTTTATAACAACAGTTTGTGGAGAATAAATGAAAAGCATTTCAACGAAATTGTGGGTTGCATGGGAAGAGAACATTGATAAGTAATTAATAAAGAAAATTTCGAGTATTTAATAGTATATTTGATATCGCAGGAGTCAATACAAAAACACTTAAGAGAGTAAAATAGGTCGCAAATTAAATGAAACCAAAACTGTTAACAAGTTCGCTATTTCGTAAGTCACTTACTTGCTTCAATCAAAAGTTATGCAAAGAATTAACTAAGAAATTCTGACAACCATAGGTAAGTGTAGTCTAGACAATGACATTGCGACATTATTGGAAGTAAACGGATGTTTCGTAAACTATAGGAAACTATTCTTTATAACTGTAGTTCAGGATCTTATCAAGTAGAAATGTCAGAACAATTGAATTAATTGTGAAAAACAAATATGAAATGGACTTCGATCTAACAATTCGAATATGTTTATAAATGTTTTTCTAAGAATAAGACCTTTGGTGATTTTGAACATTGTGGTGATTTTGACCGCAAAACAGCCAAGTTTACCTCCCTATGCTTACGCTTTTTTTTAAAAAAAAAAACAACTTAAAATACGATTTCATTTCCGCATTCATTTATTTTTGAATTATATAATGAATGATTTTTTCTTCTTTTTCAGATAAAGGGAAGGGGTTTGGTGTCTTTATAAATATTGATCGTAATCCCTTTTCCCATTTCTCAGCTAAAATAGGCACACATCAAACTTCTTCTGCCTCTATATTATATGTAATATCATGGTTATTATCGACAGTGAATTATTGTTACCTGTTTGAGCCAATTGAAATCGTTAAGGTGCCAAGTAAAACTGCGCTGTACTTGCGCTTATAACAAATTTAATATCATTTATATTTATTGGCTGGCTTACCTTTCAAGTTTAACCCTTCGTGTTCTTCTGATTCTGTAGTTCCACTCCCCCTTTTTTTTAATGGTTTCTCACGTGCCACAACGCGGTTTTTATTTGGTGGTTGTTAATCTCATGACTTGATTGTTAATTTCAAGGAGGTATCGATAAGGAAATATTCCCAACAGTGTCATCGAACATCATATTATTTAAGTGTTAGTTTTAATCTAATTATAATCAATGCTAAAAACAGCTATGAAGAAAAAAGTTTCATTTTTTTTAGTTTTATTTTTTTAGGTAGGCTAAGTTTTAGGTTGTGTAAAAAAAATACATTTATAACCTAAAAACAGTGTAAATAATCATTAAAATAAAAAATGTCGGCATATAGCGTTAAATATCGATATTTTATAACGATATATCGTGATTATAAAACTTCGATATCCCCGAACACTAATCTAAATCTCTCTACGTTCGACATTTGAAGTTAACTTTACGTTTTTTTTCAATACAATATAATAAAATATTTCAGCATCATTTTAAAGTGCGAAAAAAAATTATGTTGCCGTCAATCAATTCGAAATCTGTTTAAAAAAATAAATAAATTTAAAGAAAAAGAAAATGTTAGAACACGCTAAACTTCAAGCGGAAAAAAGAAGAAAAAAAAGGTCTTACCGTATTCCATTTCGCTAACATTTAAAAGAGATGCATCTTTCCGAAGCAATGCTGAATATGTCAACAACCGAAAGAAAGAATCTAACTTTATACCTAAAATACCATTATCTGAATTTTTGAAGGACAGCATCCTATTCCACCTTCAACAATCGATTCCAGGCTCATCCAACCTTATTTCCTTCACTTTTTGCAACATCCCAACCGGGGGTGGCCTAAGACATAGTTTTATATGAAACACTTTTATTTCATTCCATCAATAAAACGAATCGGAAACCTAAAAGGTTTGCTTGGTAAATGCATGTCATGAACTGGAAGATATGAAATTTGCCGAGGGGTTGTTTTTACTCGCTATGGCATCTTGGTGGGGGTGGGGATCTTTCAAAAAAATTTTTTCCCAATAAATGAATGGTGAGGAATATGTACAGTAAAAAAATAGATTTTATAATTATTAATTTAAAAAAAAAACAACTTTTTTCAAACAGTATGTTCTTTTCCTTTTAAATTTAAATGTTTACGCAGGAGTGTCAATTTTTCGCAATCGTGGAGACATTTTCCATCAGTGTTTTTCAGTAAATATAGTTATCCTATTACATATACGTACACTAAAACAGTCTGTCAATTTCAAAATGTTATATAAAGATTAACAATTGGAGTTTATACATATATCGAAACAAATATCAAAATAATCGCGTCGAATTGAACAAATAGGTTTTATGTGATAAATATTTATATAAGTATAAAAACAAAGGACATGCACAAACATAAAATAAAAAAAAAATGTACCAGGGAATAAGAGCCAATAAACATAGGGAACAGGGCATTTACCTACTTTTGAAAATAAAAGCCAGTGTTCTGAAAGAATAAGAGCCACTGTAAAAAAGGAAATATGACATTTTTCTAGTTTTCAAAATTAAGGCCAATATTTTAAAGCAATAATAATAATAATAAAAAAAATAAAATAAAAAAAAGAGGGAGGGGGGGGAGTACATTTACCTAGTTTTCAAAAGCCTTCTGTAATTTCGTAATTGTTAGTATTCCTGTTATAATGTTGCAACTATAACAACGATAGAATTTATGTTAAACAAAAACTCGAATGTTAGAATTATTTTAGAAGAAAAATGTATGAAACATAAGTCTAGTGTAGTTTTTAGTAACCAGGTCATTAAATATAAGAAAATGAAATCTTAGCATTGGAATTCTAATCAAATCTAATATACTTGTCTTACTTTATTTCAATCATAACTAGCTTAATTAATGTGATTTTAGTGTTTATAAATCATTTAATAAAAACCCAACATCCCCTCCAACAAAATTACAAAACAAATATTCAGCTTTTTTTTTTCTTCTTTTTTTTTACTTTATTCACTTTAGCTTTAAAATTCAACTGACAGAGGAATTAAAAAACTATGTTTATATAACAAATGCAATTTTTTGAAGAA